GGGATTTTAAAAAAATTAAGAGTAATATATTCAGAAAAGTGAATGAAATATTAACATACAAATTATTAAATAATTTTAAAGCAAACACATAATAGATCCTCTAACAAGAATAAGAGATAAAACATTGTAGTTAGGTGTGGTGGTGTATGCCTTTAATCCCAACGATGTGGGAGGTTGAGGCAGGAGGATTACAAGTTCAAGACTGGGTTTAGCAATTAATTAGCAAGGCCCTAAGCAATTCAGTGAGACCCTGTCTCAAATTTTAAAAAATATAAAGGTCTGAGATGTAGCTCAGTGGTATAGTACCCCTGAGTTAAATCCCAAGTATCAAAAAGAAAGAAGGAAGGAAAGAAATATTGTCAGTATCCCAGCAGTCTTTTATTTCCCTCTTTAATTCAGCTATCTACTTTCCTAGATAAAATTACTATTGATTTTTATGCTAGTAATTTCCTTACATTCCTGTGTGGTTTTTCCCATCTGTGTCTTCTGGAAAAATAGTTTAGATACCTGATTCTTAACTTTACATGATTTACATGAATAAGGTCCCATATTTTTTTTTATATTTATTTTTTTGTAGTTATACACAATAACTTTTATTTATTTTTATGTGGTGCTGAGGATCAAACCCAGGGCCTTGCACATGTGAGGTGAGCGCTCTATCGCTGAGCCATAACCCCAGCCCCAGGATCCCGTATTTTATGTGTGTGTGTGTGTTGTTTTTTTTTTTTTTTTTGCTTAATATTTTTGAGATTCATTTTTGTTGCTTCTAACAGTAGTTGATTTTCATTACTGAATAGTATTCTGAGGTGTTAATATACTTCATTTTGTCCATTCTAGTGAGATGGATGTGAGCGTTTTTATATATATGTCCTAGAGAACATGTGCAGCAGTTTACTTAGGTTATATATCTAGAATTGAAATTGCTTGGTCATAGGTATAACTTTGTTTTTATTTCTTAAATTTTTTTAAATTTATTTTTTGGTGGTGCATGGCCTTGTTCATGCAAGACAAGCACTCTCCCAACTAAACTACATCCCCAGCTCTAGCATTGTTTTTAGTAGATAATGTTTTCCAAAGAGTTTGTACTAATTATATTCCTACCATCAAGGTATGAGAATTCTATTACTCCATACCCTTTTAAAATTGTTAGTCCTTTAAATTTTTTCCACTTTGTTATATGTGTAATAACAATATCACTGTGGGTTTTGTTGTTTTTTGTTTTTGTTTTTTAAGATACATTCTCACAATGTTGCCCAGACTGATCTTGAATTTTGGGCTCAAGTGATCCTCTTGTCCCAGCCTTCTAGGTGCTGGGACTGTAGGCATGTTATGTCATGCCTGGCATTTTCATTGTTTTAATTTATGTGTCTCCCTGAGATTGGAGACTTTTCATATTTTTATTGGCCATTTGGATTTTCTCTTTCCTGAAGTATATCTCATTTTAAAATTCA